CACACACACACACACACACTCACACAAATAAATAAAATTAAAAAAAAAACATATTGAATGTTACTTTTGGAGAAACTATGCTACAAAGGCAAACACATTCATGTCACCGTCATCATAGGTCTTGGTATTAGTTATACCGAAGCAGCACAGATTCTGGCTGTCCTGCTGTTCTTGTTAAATCTGAGCTGTCAAGAGACAACAGGCTATCTGCTATTAGCACACACACAAAAGCATCATTGATACTTTAAACAGAAGCAATACATGATGAATTTTTCCTAAAGGAAAACTTCAGACAACTGAAAACTAGTTGTGTAAAATTGAAAAATATGCCAATTGCTTATCATACCTTGTAAGATCTGTCTGCTGGGTCCAGTTGTTTCTTTCAAGGAGGGACCATCTGTGGAGAATTAAGTTAAATTATTTTAAAACATGTCTGCAATTGCTGATTTAAATTTTTGTAATTCAGAGTCCATTCAAATGTCTCGTGAAGGATGTGTGACTACATAGCCACATCAGACCTACAAAATTATTCTTAAAATTTAACAATGTAACTGAGTAGAAGTAAATTTAGTGGAAGCAATTTTTAAAAGCAAGGACAAGCTTATTTTGGAGGTTATTACATTAACAAAATAAAAAGCATAAGAAATTCAAAACATTGTGAAAATCTGCTAATATCCCTAAAATCTAATACTTTTACGATCAGAAAATTCAGCCTAAACTAAATTTACTGCTTCAAGTTATAAGAAGTCCAGGAAGTGAGGCCAAACAGAGTGACAAGTGGATTATGGAAAACAGTACTTTTTCGATAGCTTCTAGATGGATATGGCAAGATTCTTATATAGAAGAGATAAAAATGCTTTCATAAAAATTTGCCCTCATGAAAAAGATACTGCAATTTCTATATGTGTTTTAATGATTACGAATTAGCTCTACATTGAAGCAGAAAATAAAGTAAAAAAGGCACAAAATAAGCAAACACTGTTTAAAGAAGGTACCAGGAGCCCCACAGGCTTTCTGATCACGACCCACAAAATAACTGTGTGGCCACTGCCTCTTGGCCAACAACACCAGGACCAAGAGCATCACCATCAGCACTGTGGCCCTGGTGGAGTGCAGTGCCGGAGCTCTGCCGCAGCGCAGCACGTGTAAAAGCTTAATGGGAAAAATTCTCACCCTGACTAACTATATATACTGATACCTGTGAACTAAGCTACTGCACTGCAGATGGTTGTTTGTAATAGTAGTTTTGGAGAGCTTGTCATTCTGGTCTTCTGAATAAGGGCTGCTTGTCATGACATGCCAGTTGCTGCTATGATGTCTCTTGGGTAGATGGTTGTTCAAAAAGTAGGGGGTGGTGAATGAAAGCAAGAGATAGGAAAAGGAATATTGTGGGTCTGTCCTGTTTCAAGGTTGTATATGGTTAGATTTTTGGACTTACGTGTAACATAAGAAGTATATAATTCT